ATTCTTCAACTGGCAGATTCATGATGAAGGCGCCAGCACTTCAGTTCATCATAAACGATTATATGCTGGAATAACATAGTCTAGGTGCTACCAGATGAGCAGCGGACAAGGAGGGGAGGGGGATGATGGTATTTAGCGTAAACAGCGTGTCTTAGGTTCAGCCAGTGTTCTGTGGTAGGTTGAAAGTTTACGGGGCAAGTGTTGAAAACGGAGCAAGCTGACTCCCTAAAAGAAGCATAATTTGTTAAGTTATAGTTTAGGTTTTTCTCTGATTTGTTCATTTAGAGCAGCAACACACCAGCTTTCATCACCCATCTACCTGCGTCGCTGCTGCGTAGTGACCTGTGCAAATATGGCCCCCTCTCGCGAGCTGTGAAGAGCGACCCCCGCCCCCTCACCTCCAGACTCCGCAATGTATGCGGTGAAAGGTGCCCCGTTCACCACACGCACGTCAAGTCTCACAAGTCTCAAATCACCTCCCGCATAGGGCAGCCAAGTTTCTACTGTCCGGGGCCGATGCAATGATACCAGATTCGTATGACAGGATGAAAACGCTGACTTTACATCGGCTAACCTCCGCATTCCGTCGTATGGGCGGTATCGCATTAGTAAGCTAATATGCTTTCGGAATGAAGCGGAATCTGTGCCGTGCCTCAGGAAGGGACCGCACAAAAGTGGAAGCTTTATCTTTCACCTTTTCTTTTTTCATTACCAATCAGAGGGTGCTGTGAAAGGTCGGGCTGCTCTGAATGCTGCTCGTGGGCGAAGTATAAACGATCACGAACCATACCTTGCAAGATAGTATTTAAACTCTCTCGATGGGAATCGGAGATACTAAGAGGAACTTGCATAGGTGGATCTGGCTGAAAGAGCCCAGATGGAACAGCCAGTGGGGCTAACAAGTGTTCCATCTGGGCAAACGAATCATACTCGTGACTAGTGCACGATGTATGTGGGAGATATCTGTTCCATTGGATTCATACAGAGAGTATGAAGCCCACATAGTTTTAATGTGTACGGGTTAGTAGCACCAGACACAGAATCGAAAGGCGACTGCCTCAAGCTGCATATGCCACTAAGACCATTTTGTGCTCAACCAGCCCTGTTGTTCAAAAGACTAGCGTTGGAGCGCGTTCGCAATAGCGTTATACGTGCTACATGCGTCATAAAGTCTGAACGCTGCCGGCTTGCGAGTGGAGTCTGAGGCAGCATCCCCCAACACACCAGTTGTATTCCGTGCACTTTCGAGGGCTGAACGGGACACAATTATGCAGCGGGAGAGCCCGTCCAACTTACACCTGGCACATGGCAGGCATCCATTCTGTAGGTAAGCGCATTGTTTATCTCGTAGGGCAAACTTCTAGTACACCGTACGAAAAGAGTTTCATAGTGTGGATCTCACCCGTGTTTGCAAGTGTTCTATGCATAGGTGTAGGTGTAGTTGTTAGTTTCGCCTCTCCTGAGACGAACCACCTATACTTAGACTTACTGCTGATTTTGCTACATTTCATACCCGACATAGGGAAACGGTGGTCGCACTGTGCTTAATTGCCTTAGTCTTCTTTGGAAATTATGTTTATTGTATTCCAGCTGCGAAATCTACAAAAAACAGGTGCGCATGCTCGGGATTACGGTACATTCGACGAAGAAATTGAACGAGCTGAACATAAAGTCGAATGGATCAAGAAACATTTCCGAAAACTATCGGATTTCTTCAACAAAGCCAACACTTAGTTTTACCTGATATATACTTACTGTACTGTACTTATGCTCTCAAATTCTTTATCTCAAAATTACTATATCAGTGAAGAGATCCCCTATTTTCGCTTATTGAGCGTCTTAGTTGATGACTTGTGAATAGAACATGTTGCTCACTTACTTTTCTCTGTGATCATGCCCATTCCACTTCACAGTAATTCTTACATAACTTATGCCTTACTTGTGAAGCCTTTCGTCGTAAGCCCAATTTTCGACAGTTCGACTTGTTTCCATTTTTTTGATGCTCTAATTTCACTGCTGGTAGTTCGCTACCGTTTGTATTTTCAAAACTTTTAGCTGATTTTATTAGCTTTCCAATTTACAACAGTCACATGGTAAATATATATGAGATAAATACATGATTGATAGGGGTTCTCACTTGTGCTCAATTTAGAGCTCACATAGAAAAGCTTTTTACAAGACTTCTCCTTTTCATACAGCTCGTGCACGAGCAGAATTACAGGGTGCTCAGGAGCTTCCCACATCTATTAAATTCACTTCGTACCGAATATTTGTCAAAGAAAATTTTCCTGCCAAAGAAGAAGGCGTAGTCATACTAGTTGCGCTGATCATTAAAACCTGCGCCCATAAAGTCCACCACTGGTAGGCAGCGTCTACGTCAGAAGAGAGCGTGGTGACGGCGAGAATTCTTACTTAATTGCGCGACTGCGCAGAGTTTGGGAAAAGTGAGAAATGGCCAGCAACATGTAATGGGATGAAAAGTGAAAGGCACAGCAGCAATGGGTGAAGCGCTTGCTAGATAGGTGGTGCTTACTGCAGAGAATCGGCAGCTCAGTTTTGAAATGACCCTGTATAAAAGGTAGTTGGCAGGATAATTTGGTACTTAAAATGATATGCTAGCAGAGCTACATATAGCGGGATAGGGGGCGAGAAAACGAAATGAAACGGTCAAAAACCTGCAAAAGAAGTCTTTCGTTGTGATGTCTCAAAAAAGTTATTTCCGACGAGTTTCCCATAACCATCTTGCCAATGGCCGCTACTGTAGATATGGCTGCAAGTATGTACTCATATACCCATGCAGCAGCGCAGCTACTTCTATTAATGCCTTCGCTTCATATTTCACTGAGCAAAATGCAACAATACGAGTATTAAGAACGGACGTCCATTTGTAGGTGAGTGAGCTTGGTGGGGTTCGGCCGTTACGTTGTAGGATAAGGGCACATTCCTTGCGAAACGGGTAACAGGGATGCCTGCCCAGGGTCGCGGAATTCCGTCCTGTGAAGCTATCAATCCTACTCGTCTTGGGGATTTATCGTGCCAACTACCTTTATGAGAGAACTCCGTGGAAAAGAGAATCATCCCTGAAAAGAGTTGATTTGGAGGTGCGGAATGTTCACTGGATCGTGTTCTTACATATTATATACATGTCCGGAGCAAGCCAGAGACCCGAAAACTGGAGTTGAGTCATCATAGGGTGAGACGAAGAAACGTAAAAGACTACATCCACTGTGGTGAGCCTCCAGTCCGTTTCAGGGAATGGAAAATTAAACGAAGTTCCCGAGTGGGATGGCTAGAGCGCTGGAGACACATCCGCATGCGCAGCGGACGGAGTGTTTAGCGCTTCCTAGTAGATGGACGTGTGGCTCTCCTTTGTGTGGGTTATGAAGTGTTGGTATAAAATATTGCTCCATAGGGGGCAAGTGGCAAGATAAATACCCGAGACATGTAGGGTTTATACGCCTAGCAGAATTCCGTTATACATAGCACCTTATCAAGCTGCAGCATACGGACCTTGAGCCCACCGCGCCCACCGCGCCCAATACGCGAAAAAAAACGAATAGGATCGGAAATCGAGATGCTAATGCTCATACCTCTTAGGAGGTGCAATATGAAGCGAAGAGATCGATATGAACCGGCTGCTGATCTGCACAAATATATGAGCACATGCATGCAAACTTGAAGCCAGCGAGAAACTCGCCTAAAATCGCTTCATGACTCTCCTGAAACAACAGCACTTTCTGCATTTTTTTGCCCTTTTCAGTTCGCTTTTTCGTTGCTCTTCCTTTATGTAGCACCCTTGCTACCATTTTTCACCGACTACTAAATTATCGTGCTTTATGCCTTTGTGGGAGCAGAAGTAACAGAAATAATTTCAAAACCGTGCTCCCCTTCACAAGCGAGTGATGGGAAGGGAACTAAAGCAGCTGAGAAATGATCAGAATAAACCACAAGCAGTGTGAATGGCTTCAGTTCCTCCCTGGTCACCTTCCCCAGAAGCTTTGTCCATCGGCTTAATACGTAGTACCCCAATGCACCCACAACCGTGCGCGCGCCAGGGAATTCTGGTCCTATTAGATCGTAACTTACAGTAGGGGAAAAAATTTGGAACAAGCCCGCTTTTTCAGGTCTTACATGCAATTTTTGGACTGCACATGAAAACTTTGTTTGCACGAATCAAGTACGCCTCACAACGCTATTCAAAAAAACAAAACTGGTCGATCAGATTCGTTACTGGTACAGAATTCTGGAGATTATCGCGGTGCGGCTCGCTGCTGCCACTCTGATTTGGACCACAAATTTTCTAATGCTTGGAGAACAATATAGGTTTCTCGAGAGTTGTAAAGAAGGTAGCGAACACTCAGACATGTGTGATCTCTTCCAATGGATCACAAAGCATTAGAAACTCTGAAAACCGTTCCAGTACCAGAGTGGCAGTGGCGTGCAGCATCGCAATTATCTTCAGAATTGTGTCTCGGTGACAAGTTTAATCGACCAACTTTATGTTTTATAATGGCATTTCAAAGGCGTACTCGATTGGAGTAAACAAAGTTTCCACATGGAGTTAAAAACTTGTGGGTTAAACTATTGCCTCGGTTTGTTCCAAGTTTTTTTTTCGCGATATCGTATTGGATTAGGTTAACCGTAAAATTTGAGAGCATTCCACACTATTGCTTTGAAGAAGTGTAGCGAGCGAATGCCCTTAGAGAAAGTCATATATCAAGTGCTATGAGAAAGAGAAGTGTTTGTCAATTCATACTAATGCTGGTTGTTATTATTCTCCATTGTTGGCATGATTTGTCATCACCTGAAAAATGTATGAGTGCGCACGATTTCCAACACCTTTTACTTCATCTTCACCGTTCTGGCTCCTCTATCGGTCAAAATGACAGACCACCCTCGATTTCGGATAAAATGCGCTTCGAAATCATCCATACTGGGGCATCAATCGGTCTCTTACATGGAAGTTTAGCTTACAAGAAATGGATGGTCGATCGAAGTGGCCATTCGAAATGAGAGTATACTGCCCGATGGGCCCTTGGACGCTGATTACAAATCTGCCCTCCATATCTGCTGAACGATTCCCTGGGCAAAGATGCACGATTTTTGACCAGGTCACACCCATTTACAGCATGTATATGTATGAGGTGCTCCAAATTGCCCTAACTGGCTGAAATCTGAAATTAGAGGTGCTTTAGTGCCCTGGAAGTCAACACTACAGTTATATTTCGTGAAAATGTCTTGTACGCATTCTGGTGGGACAGGGTGTGCAGGAACCGGCAACGTCCTTGTCAAGCGTTTTTACGCCGAACGAGTAAGATATTCGTGCTCTGGCTCAAATTGGCCCCAGAGACAAGTTTTCAACCAAATTTGAGATTTCGACCTATTTTCGATACAGTAGGGTAACCATAGGCAACCAACTCCTCAAGGTCGCTGGCACCACCGCCGATCAAAATCTCTGTGAGCAATGGTGCATTTCCGCTGAATTTCAGTCCTTGTTGCTTACTGACGGTTCTAATAACCACCACGACATCCATTTTTGGCTTCCATGTCATCTGGAATCAGTTGGGCCTCACAACACGACGGAATCAACAATCAGGAGTTCCCACTAGGAGTGTTCCAGAATGGCTCCATTACATCAGAAATAAAATTTTTTGGTAGAATCAGGTCTCCTAGCCTCGCCAGTGGTCTCCTGCACATCCGGAAAGCAAAAGTGCATAAACAGCAGAGGACATAAACAGCAGAACGTTGGTTCCAGGAAGTAAAAAAGGGGGCAGGATGAGAATATTATTGGTGGGTGTCAGAAAGTGATAACAGCAGAAAAGATTAAATGAAGCCCCTCAGAAGGGGAGGTTATCGAATTCATACGCGGACCACCGCAACGACAGGACGTTGGTTCTAAGAAGTAAGATAGGGGGCAGGAAGGGAGCATTATTGGTGGGTGGTAGGAAGTGGTAAAAGGTGATAGTATTCCATGGGGCCACTTCAGAGAAGAAGCGCCCAAAATCCAAGGCACGAGCTGTAAAGGCACTGGAAACGCTCCAGTAAGCGATTCAGAGTTGATTTGTAATAGGGAATATTGGTGGTAGGAGATGAGTTGTGATATACTTTGCTCACATAGTGATAATTCTATCCATAATTCTTACAAAATCCTGTGTTACATGACATTTTCAAAATTGTCCCCAAAATAGAAAATGTGGTAATGATCAATGCCATTTTGCATGTCGGCTAACTTAAAGAATAGATTTTTTCCTAAATTTTCTGGATGTGGTTACTCTGACAATTCCGCGGAATGAAATTTTACCTCATGTTTTTTCGCTGCGAGTCATTTTCGTTGCGTGAAATTGTCTCATCATTGTAACTCTTTGCTTTTTCTTGACTATGGCAAGAGGACACATTGTGGGACTTCGAAAGAGGACAGATATTGTGGTGTTTCTCGGTCACAACAACCGTATTAGACTACACTACTATGCTGCTCTGATGGAAGAAACGTCAGCTTTCCCTCAAGCAACTGAATAATCAATGGGAAAACAGGTGATACTAACATATTCTAAATGAAAGTAGAGTGTGTAGCGTATCGTGAGGAGCTGATCACCTTCACAAACCATATCTGCTCATAAGGGGCCAGTTGAATGCGTTATCTCAGACTTCATCCATTCATCATCTGAATCTCTACTTCTTTTCACGCGACCTCTCGCAGAGCCGAAAATATCTTTATAAGGCACAACATCTCCTCT